TGATGGCTTGGTATAGCATGTTAAATTTTCATTATGAAATTTTCCAATTAGATCCAATCTCAGTAACCATGTCAGTTGACTGTTAATCATTATCGCTTTTGCTGGGCAAAAATCTATTTAATTAATTTATTTAATTTCTTTATCTCGCCTTTCAATCGGTTTTAAAGGTCCAATTAAACCTTTTCTTCCGAAAGGCCATTTCCTAGAACCCAGGCTAATATATCTTTAGTGCATCGATGATCCCTTATCTATGCAGGATGCCCGCACATTGCGATATCAATTTCTTCGCTCGATCAGATCAGAGAAACCCCTATTTGTGTTCATATCATATGTTTAGTCATTTTTCTATTTCTTCTTGTTATTTTTAAAGCCTCGTTGTCTAATGTCTAGCGTAAACAGCTGGCTGATTTGTGTCCATGCTTAGCTTCCATAGATTACAACCTGGAACAGATATTTATCGAAGAACTTCCGTTTTAAGCATACAGATAGCTTAATAGATGCTGACATTTTCAATCTTCCGAAATTCTCCATGCCATTTTCACCGTATCGCTAGTGCTGCATAGTTACCTAGCTTGCAGGTGATTGACATCAACGCGTAACTACTGAAAACAGTAATTTTCATATCAAAGAAAAGTTACTGATTTATATCATCTGTCGATGTTAATACCTAATCTTTGCCAGTCAGTAATTTCCTTATCAGACGAAAGTTAATCACAAACCTCATTATGACTTAAAAACATGACATAGTCAATGTGACAGGTACAGACGTCAAAACTCAATTCTGAATATCACGTTCTATGAATGAAGTGGCTGATCAGAAATTAGCATTATTGACTTACTGGTTCATCTAAGTGACCCATGTATCTTACTGTCACGACTAAAGCAGCTGCGCATATCACTAGTTTGACGCAGGTTTTGAGATAGAACCGCATGGAGATAGAACTTTAATTCTAGAAGATAGGATCATATACACAATGGCCTGACACAGCCCGCGCCGAACAGAAACTCTCTATCTCAATGGAGCGAAATGCAGCAGCGTTTAAACTAACCTTTGTTGTTAAGTAAGTAACAATGTAACTTGAAGTTAAGAACGTTACGTGCACTTGTTGAAGATGATTACCTAGGCAATAACTTTGTTTAAACTGTACGTTGTGAACTTTGTTACTGGCATTGACGTCATAAGATTGCGAAGGTCAACAACGGTAAGGCTCTAGACGGTGCGAGTCTCTATTTCTGCTGTGGTCGTAAAATGGGAGCTTTGATTTGAGCTTGCCACAAAACTGTTCATTTTTGGTCGAGTATTAGTAGGGTGCGCATTTCTCGATTAGCCA